ATTAATATTTTAATTTACATAAAAAAAAAAAAAAAAAAAAAAAAGGGAATAATTAACTTTGTAATTGAAATAAATTTTTTTATTTTATTATGACTTCTAATAAAAATTCAATGTTTTTATAGAGTTAATAAATTTTTCACAATTTTGAAAACATATAATATGAAATTTTTCTAATTTTTTATTAAGTTCATACATATTTTAAAAAGGAAATAAAAGGAGAACTTTAAGTATTATTAGTAAAACTTACTTATATAATGTATTTATATGTATATATATATATGTATTTTTTTTTTTTAATTTTATTTACATAAATATGATTTAAATACTCAGGAGGTGGTTCCTTATTAAAATTGTTGAAGCTCATTTTTTATTTTAATACTTTATAAATAACAAAAAACAAAAAAAAAATTACAATTTTACTTTTCTTTAATAACAAAAATTTTCAAATTTTTAGAAATAAAAAATGATTATATAAAAAAAAATTAAGTAATTAAAAGAATACTAAAATTATTATAAACAATTAAGAAATATATTTTCAATTAAAAAATAAAATTATAATCGAATTTTTTTTTTTTTAATTACATTTTATGCACATAAGAAATAAAAAAAAAAAAAAAAATGTTCTAAAAAGGGAATCAGGCTATTATTATTCTTTTTATAAACCTATATATGATCATTATTTTTTAAATTATTATAATTATAATTATTATACTAATTATAACCACAATTATTTATATTTAATTAATCATTTTAAATTTTATTTATTTTATACATATGTTTTCATACTTTTTAAAATAATGTATTCTTTTAATATATTTTTTAATATGTGATAATCTTTACTACTATATTATTATTATTATTATTATTATTATTATTATTATTATTATTATTATTATTATATATTAATAATATTCAAACTTATATACTATTTTGTATGTACACTTATCTTATAAATAAATGAATTCTATAAAAAAAATTAATTTTTTAAGCAGGATATTTATGTTAAAAATAAAATTCTCTATTTAGAATATATTTTTTTTTTTTTAATTAAATCTTTTATTGTGCTATTTCTAGTTGTTTAACTTATTTTTATATAAGTACACTTTCAAAATATTCAATCTGTATACTGTTTTTTTTATTTTTTATTAAAGATGAATAAAATTTATTTGTTTATTTTTGTCTTGTTTCACCTTTCAGAATGTATGCTCCCATGGACCAAAAAAAGAAAAGCAGGCAAAAAAATAAAATAAAATAAAATAAAATAAAATTATAAATATTCTCTTTAAAAATAAATTATTCTAATTATTTCTAATTTATTACTATATTATATCTCATCCCCAATTATATTTCTAGTTAATCAAATGGCTATAATTAAAGGTTATATAGATTTTTTTTTTTTTTTTTTTTTTTTCAATAAAATAAATATATAACTATTTCTTTATTTTCTTTTTATCTATATGAAGATATGTCAAAGGAATTGAAAAATATATCTGAATCCCTTCCTACTCAAACCGATATTGTAAAATGACATATTTTTTTTTTTTTTTTAATATATAATTTTTCTCTTATTAAAATTTTCCTTTTTTTTTTAATATATAATTTTTCTCTTATTAAAATTTTGCTTTTTTTTTTTTTTAATTATATAAATACAAAATTTTAGACAAGCAAAATTCACAAGTAATTAAATAAAAATAATTAATCTATGATTTTTTTTTTTTTATATTATTTATAAAAAGGAAATTAAATTATATTAACATCATTATTTTTACTACTTTTACTATATTTATAATTTTATCTTTTTTCTATTGCATTTGTTGTAACTAATATTATTATTTTAATTCTCTGATATGTTATTAGAATAGATAGTGAAGTTTTAGAAAAATTAGATGAAGAAATAATTAATGAAGAAAATTTAGCAAAACATAAACCACATGTTTGCCAAGATTCTCCTTATGAAAGAGATTATTCCTATTTGTGCCCTGAAGGTTTCTTAAAAAAAAAGAAAAAATCTAATAATTTTATTTAAAATTAAAGTAATTATTTATAAATTGTAATATTTATAAAACTTAAAATTTTAAATGTTATGTTTCTTATATATATTTAATTTTTTATACATTATTTCTTATTTGAATTAGGTTGGATAAAAAATTCTATAGGGCAATGTTGGTAGAAGAAATAAAAAAAAATTTTTATTTTCATATTTTTTTATAACATATTTTCTTTTTCTTTTCATTTTTTTTTTTTTTTTTTCCTAACATTATTTAGGGGAATAGACTATGATGGGCACTGTGAATCTCTAAAATATTTTCAAGAATATTCAAATGATGAAAAAAGAGAATTTGTATAAATGCATTTTAAAAAAAAAAAAAAAAAAAAAGAGAGAATACATTATATTATTTTTAAACAAATTATTTTGGTTTTTTTTTAATTCGTTTACCTCTAATATACTTAAATAAATAATTCTTTCTGATGTTTATTTTTATATAAATATATATAGGAATTAAACTGTTGTGTCTTATGGCCAAAATTAAAAAATGTGACAAAAAAAATTAATAGAAGGGATAATTTAAAGGGATCGGTTATTTTATTATATTTTACTTTATTTTGTTACATTATATTATTTTTTATTTCATTTTATTTTAAGAATTATTCCTTTATAAAAATTCACTACATTACAGCATTATAATTATATCTACTTATTTTCCTATTTAGATAAATTCAAGCAATGGATTAATTATAAAACCAAAAAACATGTAAAAAAAAAAAAAAATAAGAAGAATTGAATTATTTAATTATTTTATATATACAATTAAAATCTCATAAATTATCTAAGATATAAGTTTGCTTTTAGATATTCTTTATTATTTTTTGAAAATTTTTATTAAAAACTAATTTTTTGTCACACAAAATAGTATATTATTTATTTATTTTATTTTATTTTTTTTTTTTTTTTATGATCAAAATAAAAAAATTTATAAACAAATCTAAATGTCTTTTCACATTACCATTAAAAAATGTAATACTGTATTATTGAAAATATTTAAAAAATATAAAATAATAATAAAGCCAGAATAATTTAAAATTCACCATTTATTTCATTAAATATAAACATATTTATTACGCTCAATTATAAAAAAAAAAATTAAATAAAATAGTAATGTGAATTTTTAGTTTTATATAACAAATAAAAAAAAAAAAAAAAGAAAATACAAAAAAATTAAATAAAAAAAAAAATATATTTTTTTTTTTCCTCAAAATATTTTAACTAATATTTTAATAAGACTCTTTTATATTTAATAAAAATACAAAGGAATATGGAAATCATTTTAAAATAATAATCATGAAAAAAAAAAATATAAGAGAAATAAAGATTATCTTAACTTTTTATACTAAGTTATATTTTTATTATTCTTTTTTTTTCTTAAAATATTTTTATCTAATTTTTTCTAATTACTAAAAATATTTATTTAAAATTTAATTTTAGATTCAATTTTGGTTGAAATTTTAAAAAAGGAATTTTATCTCCTTGTTGTTGAACTTCAGGTGTATTTCTATCATTTACAACTCCTAGTACAAATTTTAATATACCTAAATCATATATAAAATAGCTTTGGAAATTTCCATATCCACTTTTTCTAATTAATGATGTTAAAGTTAGATTCATATTTAAAGATGGATTAAACATTTTTTTTTTTCTATTAAGAGCTTCTCTTATTTTTCGTTTATCAAATAATTTTTTTAATGGGCTTTGATTCAAATCATAATAATTATTTAATATTTTTTCTAATTTTTCTTCGAATTGATATAAAAATTCTTTAATTGTGTTATTAAGACTACTGTCTAATATAAATTGTTTGGTGATTAATTTATTTATTTCAAATGTAAATTTTTTTATTAAAGAATTTTTTAAATTTTCAATTTTATCTTTTTTTTCTAATAAATCTTTGTCATTCTTTATATAGAATTTATTTAATATCATATCTTTTCCTTTGTTAATATAAGAGATTTCTAACAATAATAACTGCTTTAATATTTGTTTACGTATTAATGTTTGAAATCTTGCCATTAATTTCTTAAAAATTGTATCCTTAAATTTTGTACCTGTTTGTTCAAATGTCAATAAATGAAACAAAAGCAAAGAAGATTTTATAAGGTTTTCTGCTAATTCACCATAATTTTCAATAACATTCCCCATTATAATATTTTTCTCATACTCATAATATATTTTATCAAAATAATTTAAGCATTTTATATATGATTCCTCTATTACATATATATTATAAACAAAATTTTCATTAAAGATATCAAAATTCTTAAATGTATTCATTTCTTTCATAGAACCTTCTATATTATTTATTAATAGTTCATATTTATTTATATTATTCTTTTGTAATAAATCTACATTCATTTTACTCTGCTTTATTAAATAAATATGTAAATTGTTATACTTTAATTTTAAATGATTAATTATATCTTTATTAACATTAGCACTATGTAGTTTTTTATTATCTGTAATAATTAAATAAATATTCATATTTTTACTTTTCTGATTCAATCTATTTAAAAGAATTTCTATTTTTGTAGGTAAATTGATAAGATACTTTTTATTTGTAATGTTTTTTGCACAATCCTTCTTTTCCTTTTCGTCATATATTTCCTTATATATATCTTCCATCGATAAAGATATTATAACACTATTTGTTGATTCAATAATAATATCAACTAACTTTTCATAATTATATATAGTTTCATAATTATCTAAAAATTCTTTATTTTCTAATAAATCTATATCGAGAACAACATTAAAATTATTATTTTTATCATATCCAAACCATAGATCTAATTTTTGTTGAAATCCTAAATTAATAAAGTTTCTTTTTTCTGATGATATATTAAATAAATTTTCTAAAATTCTTCTTTTATTACTCCCAGAACTTCCAAAATATGAAAAAACATATTTGTTTTTATTTTGTACATTTTTATCCTTTATTTGATATTTTCTTAAAGTTTGTAATTTTTCATGAAAATCCTTATGTGATAATAAATTAACGCATTCATAATCTTTTGTTGTTTTTTCATGAGTATTCTTTACACTTAAAATAAAATAAAAAAGAATTAAATAAAAATTTATCATTTCAATTCTCTAATATATATTTTCTTTTCTTATTTTCAACATTGAAATTAATACACACAAAACAATAATCATACATAAAATGGAATATTCCTACGTGAATTTTATGTAAAAATTTAAAGGTTAAAATTACAACAGGTATACACTAATTTAACAAAAAGTATGAATGTAAACTATATTTATATTAAATTTAATTTATTTAGTTTTAAAGCATATTACATCTTTTCTAATTTTTTTCAAATAAATATTGTATTAATTTCTTTTGTTTTTTTTTATATCTAATATTATTGTTTATATTTTTTTTTTTTTTTTTTTTTTTATCTTTAATTATAAATCCTAATGAATGTTTTCACTATCTCCTTTCATTTATTTAATTTTATCTTTTATTTAAATCGAGACATCTATATTTTAATAAACAATAAAATGATTGATCAATAAAAAAAAAAAAAAGAACTTAATTATGTATCTCAATTGCAGTGAAAATTAATTATAAAACAAAAAAAATGAAAGAAGCATTCATAATTTATATATATGAAACTCTCTAATTTTTTTAATTTTTTTGGATTAAAATAATAAAAGTTTTGTAAATCTTCACGTTCTGAGATAATCCGTTCTGTAGAATCTTATGATAAATTTAAATTTTTTTTTTTAATATTAAATATATAAATTGATATTGTTATGAGTAGGAATTAATAATTTAGGTTTAAATTAATAAATAGATAATACTATTTTTTTTAAATTTTTTTTAAGAATTAAAAAAAAAATTAATTTTAACATATGCCTAGTTATAATTTTATAAATATTTTATTTTTTATTTATTTTTTTTATATTGATATTCTCTTTTTTTTTTTTTTTTTTTTTTTTTTTTTTAAAAAAAAAAAAAATTAT